ACGGCACTGTGCCCGAGGGCGACTTCTACCGCCCAGCGGAGTACACGTCCGAGGGCGCGCGCAAGCCGCTCATCCCCAAGCACGGCAACTCGCTCATCGTCCAGCTCGTGCTCAACGGCATGAAGTTGCAGCCGTGCAGGCCGTCGTTCTTCGACGCACGCGACGCGATCATCTCGGCGGACCAGGTGCTCACCGGCGGCGAGAACTACTGCGACCTCTGGGAAGGGTTCGCGGAGCGCGGCTTGGGCCCTGACGCCCGCGTCGACGGCCGCACACCATGGGGCGGAGGAGTGCGCACGAACGACTACGATGTCCCGACGAAGTGTAAGGCTGCTGAGCCTAAGCTTTGAGTGACCTGCGGTCGTATGTCATTGCCTGTGACCCACGCGGACTGGATTGGAGGCGGTGACCCGTCTTCTTGGCTCACTAGACGGGATTGTTGCTCTTGTAACTCTAGTTTCCATGTACATTGTAGATCCACTGTTATGCATTGCCTCGGGTTCCTTGAACGTATTCTTGCGTTGTCAGGTTGTCTTGCGGCGTTTACGCGAGGTTCAAACCGGTGTCGACTGGTCGTCATTGAGCATGCTGAGGGAGGGAGGAAAACACGTGTGGCCACTGGCAGGTGCCTCGCAGCCACGGCGTTTACGTACTGGGCATGAAGTCACCCATTAGCGCGCTGTGTCGGCTCACCTCCACTGCACTGGAGTCTGGCTCAACACGCCTCTTCTGGCGATTCCTGCCATTGTACACCCCTTCGTTACGACCTCCCTCCGTCTTTCTCTAGTGTCCCGGATATCTGCATTTTCTGTTACGATCTCGACGGCGGCATAAACGACGATGTCGGGCGACAAGGATAAGGGCCCCGTGAACGTGAAGTTGCTCCTCATCGGGAACTCGTCGGTGGGGAAGAGTAGCCTGCTCTTGCGGTTCTCGGACGAGCAGTGGCTGCCGGAGGACGAGTCGAGCGCAACCATTGGTGTGGACTTCAGGGTGTGTGCATGCTTCTCAGTCCTCTTGGACATAGTGGTGCTGATGTCTGGGGTAGGTACACAAGATGGAGGTGAAGGGGCGGAAGGTGAAGCTCAGCATATGGGTGCGTCAGCCTTGGGTTGCTTATAAGCGGGTGGAAATGCTGAGTCGCGGCTGGCGGTCCGCTGGTGCGTGTAGGACACGGCGGGGCAGGAGCGGTTCCGGACGATCACGTCGTCGTACTATCGCGGGGCACAGGGCATCATCCTCGTGTACGACGTCGCGAACCGCGAGTCCTTCGACGCGCTTCCCCGCTGGTACTCCGAGCTCGAGACGTACGTGTCGCAGGCGGTGGTGAAGATCATCGTCGGGAACAAGGTGGACAAGGTGCGTGCCGCACTCAGCCTCGGGGCTGACACCCCGTCTTTGACCATGTTCGCCGCTCGTATAGGAGTTCTCCCGCCAAGTCACGTACGCAGAGGGACAGCGCTTCGCGGAGCGGATGAACTCGCTCTTTGTGGAGGCGTCGGCGAAGACGTCCACCGGGGTGAAGGAGGCGTTCCAGCAGGTGGTCGAGAAGATCCTTGACACGCCAGAGCTATGGGCCCCCGTCACCAAGAGGCCCGGTGTGGGTCTGAACGCGGACAACGGGAGCATGCCCGGCAGCATCAACCTCTCGGAGCCGCAAGGTAGCTCTGCCGAGGGTGGTGGTGGATGCGGTTGTTGAAGTCGTCTGCGCGTCGCCAATGAACGGTTCTGTGGCTTGTGCTTTCCGTTATGTTCCTTGCCGGATTGAAGTGGTGTACGATCTGTAGATACCTGTGTATAGTAGGTGGACGCTCTACGTTCGTGGGCTAGCGTATGGGATACTAATGGCTGTCTTCTTTCCTCATCGAGGACTATATGTTGACTAGATTTCTGCTCATTATGATCTCCACTGCGCGCGCGACCAGAACGGGAACCCGTATTCCGGCGGCCAACGGATATGAAGGAGGTTCACCGTCCTGGCGAGCGCCACCGATCGACAATCACTGAGTCGCCAAAGAACTGCACAATGGCGAGTGGCGCACACACGTCCGATCAGCACATTGTCTGTCAGCCCACTGGCGAGTCGTTCCCAACCTGTCAAGGCGAGTGGTCTCGATCAGATCTAGCGGCACCCTCGAAGAATGCAAGGTCCGACTTGTGTCAACCTCCCGCAATTCGATGTCAGCCCCGCCGGGAGGCTTGCCGCGATGCGTCATCGAGCGAGGCTGACATCCGTCATCTGTGGGCCATCGGACGTCAGCCTCAGATGTAGCTTCAGCAGCTGTCAGCCATCGATCATTCATCGCGGACGTCAGCCCCCACGGTATATAAGGGCGCAGAGGCTGTGAAGCAGCGATTGTCCGTGTTCTCTGCTTCCTTCACTCATGCGAGTACTCTCCGGTACACAGTGCCGCAAGTGCCGTGGCATGGCCCCGCACTCATCTCTCCATCAGGCGTCCTCGGGGTGGCAACGTAGCACACTCTGCAAGCTGGCACGCTTATCATCAAGCCGTGCTCACGGTCGAGTCCAATCCAGCAACTCTTAGTATCGGTGTGTATCATTAGTATCGTATTGCTAACCGGGAACTCTTCCCTGTCTCTAGGTACTCAGCAAACTTGGTATTCTGTCATTGTCTACAACGAGCAATCCCGGGAGGATTAATATGAGGCCTAATTGCTGTAGCCGATAGGCTGGCTGGAATCTTGAAATCGCCCGTGAATGAGTACCCAGCCGCTGTAGCTCCCCATCAGTGAGTTGGAGCATTCATTGAGACGAACTTATCAGCTAACGGCGCTATCTCTAACTGTTGATACCGCAACAATGTCATATCACTCCATTTCAACGACATACTGTACAAACACTACTCTGCCACAACCTCGATGTTGCATCCGGACTTAGCCCATTCCGACCGTGATTGTCGACGGCGCTTCACTGAGCAATGTTGAACTGGCCGGACTCGGCATAGACCTTGTCCTCGTTGCTGTGGGGAGCATGGTTCAAATCCGTGAACCCTTCAATTTTTCAAAAGCGCACTTACGTGGTATCGACGGCCCTCAAGACGTAGTGGCTGTCACAGAACCTCGTCAGCTGCCGTGCGATCAAATGCTGCAAAGCGGACACTTACCCAGCAGGCACGTTGGGAAGGCGGAAAGTAACCGCGCCGTTGGCGGTGTGGACGTTGTTGGCAACATCCCAGTTGCCGTTATTGTTGTTGCCAGCAGACGACAGCTCCAGGTTGAACTGGGCGGGGTCGCTGGGCTGGATCTGCCAGCGCTCGGTGACCGTCTCCCCAGAGTACCAGCCGGACGGCGTGTCCAGGACAAGGGCGCTAGCGACGGAGACGAGGAAGAAAAGAGAGCTGTGTGGTTTTGTCATGGCATGTCAGCTCGATCGCTGGTGAACACTGAAGGATTAGCGACATGCCTGAGAATCAACTTCATGGTGAGTGCGAAAGCTTGAAGGCGTAGAATGTGGGTTTCTTGCCTGGAGTTTGTGCTGCGACCGCGGGCCTCTTTATACGCACCAGGTACGGGGTCTTTCATGCACGTTCAACATCATGCGAGCTCACTACTCAATGCCGAAGATGTCGACTTGCTCATGAGTACTTGCGCGGTTCAATTCAATGTCCAACGTGGTCAGACACAGGGTCCCCGACATTGAAGATGGGGCACTCATCAAGGTTCCGGTACCTGACATCAGCTTCGTGCAGAGGTAGCCAGACCAGACCAGTCCAACGCACAGGCCACCGTGCTGAGCACATGAACCTGTGCCGTGACCCAGTGGTACGCGGCACTAGGTGGGTTTTATGGATGCAACACTGTTGCTTCCGGCATATGTAAGTCCTACCGCAGTTGACATCCAGCCATATAACCGCGGCTACCCTCGTTGCCTCGCAGTCATTGGCATTTGTTGAACATACACCTTTCACAGACTCGCGATACACATTAGTGTGCAGAGGATGGCATCGCAACGTGACATTGCGAGATTCTCTGGAAGCCTGTGCGAGACTTTGATTGTATGGGGAGGTCGTCATGGAAGGTGTTAAGGTGGACGTAAACCCGCCGTAGGGCGAACCTTGACATGCACGACACGGTGCAAAGGGGAACGTGCGTAGGGTAACGTTTGCAAAGCGGGCGCCATACAGCCGTACAGCCGTCCGCCAACAAAGTACGTACGACCAATAGCACACGTTTGACGGAGGTGACAACTTCTTTGAATAATGATTCGGACGAGGCCACAGGATGCCTAGATGCACCGTCATGAGCTTTTCAATGGAGGATGCGCACGAAAGTCTCCGGTCCTACGGTGGGGTGCCTCTGTATTTGTCCTGGGGTTGCTGTTCACGTTTTTACGAATAGTTTCGATACATTGCGTAATGTTCGCAAAACGAAGGCGCCGTGAGCACGCCGGTACCGGTCGTTCTCCGCATAACAGACAGTGCAGATGACCGAGGCTCGCTGAGATGCGAGCCAGGGAGTGGTGATCTCATTTAAGGCCGTGCATCAGTCCAGCATTGCAGCCTCCGCACACCCACCACCGATCCATGTGAGACAGACAGAGCTCCAGGATAATCGCCCTTAAGTAAGGGATTTAATATTGTGGAAGCGTTCTACATGGCGCCTATAAATAGGGCTGCAGATCTGAGATGAACTCTGTAAGCACTAGCCGTCGTCTTGTTCATTGGCCCAGTCTTCGTAATAGGCCAAGGGGTTCGGAATGAGTGTCACGGTATGCATGCTGAACATGTTCACTAGCCAACTGAAATGCAGACGTTCAGTAGCACTAACTCGGAGACATAATTACTTCACTGGTAATGTGAGTCACAGGGACCACTTCTTGTCTTCCCTGGGCGATACTACGTAAAATTTTTCGATCACGGAATACATCGAGTGTCCGCTGAATGGCATACTGCCTGTCCGTAATTGCTGGAGTGTGATAACTGTAACCGAAGGCCGAGTTTGAATGAACTCGGGAAAATGGAACGATTAAAAATGATATATGCTCCCGATGAGGATCGAACTCATGACCTCAGGATTACTGGCTCGACTATGAGCCATCATAGCGCGCTATGAGACCTGCGCTCTAACCAACTGAGCCACGGAAGCTACACTTTTGAACGCTCAATTTTGACTATAGTGCCACGCTGACACTCCTAATGCTGTGCCAAAAGTTCCTCAAGTCAATATGCACCAGAACTGTCCAAAACAAAAGTTCATATCCATGCTAGCATGTGGTGACATGCTACTGGCCATCTTCTAATAGTGGACAAATGATGAGAAGAGGGTGTCATAGCCTTGAGGTCTGTTCCTGTAAGCTGTTCAGCCTACTTGTCATGCACAAGTCATGTCATATGTGATCAATGATCCCACTATTTCATGACTCATGAGGCTAATGAGACTCCATGAAGCTTTAGTTTATCCAAGATTAATCCAGCTTCAGCTGACCTGGTTTTGTATGGAAGCACACAGACCAGGTCACCTTGGTCTGAACGATTGCTTAGTGTCATTAATAGTCACTTGCTTGCCCTTGTGTAGGGCTCAAAATTATTGAGGCCTGATGCCTGGTGGTCATGCCTGATTGCCTCATACACATATGCTGTCACCAGCAAGCTGACAACTCTGACTGCCCTGTTGGAGCATGGCAATCCATGCATGGACCGGCTTCAGCTACATTTATCTTCTGTATGTGACTCTTTCTGTGCTTGTTCCATATTTCATTTGTGCCCATTGCATGATGCTGATGAGCCCCTAGCTCAGTTACCCACCGAAAACGCAACCTACGGTCAATACACCAGTGTGCTAAGTCAGTACATTTGCTGCGCTGTCCATCCATTCGAGGAAATTGTGCAATGTTCGAAGCTCAAGCGTCCGTGTTCAAACTTCAAAGCCTTTCAGTGGCAGAGGCAAGTGGTTTAGAAGCGTCACTACATTGGTAGGACTCCAGAGCAAGTACATGGCTACGTCAACCTAGCTAG